ACGTTTTACCTTTTTTGATTTGTGATCAAAAGTTGTGTTCAACGGAATAACAACGCATCTCAAGGTTAATCCAATGTCTTTGTGTCACGTAGAATTTTTTACTGATAATCAATCATCATATTTATGGCAATATACTCGGTATAAAGTATTGCCGTCCAGGCTTGCACTTTCAGATATGCTTCGTTTGCTTCTCTATTACGTCCGCTATGGTAATGTTTACGTAGATTTGGGAACTGCCCATCGATTCTATTGGTTCTAATGGTTAAGAAAAAGGTGTAAATCACACGAATCGACCAATGGGTTACAGAGATATGGTCCTGCGTAAACTATAAAGAATGGCAGCCAGCTTAAGTACATTACGCAGCCGACTTCATTTATTGTTTACAGCGTAAAGAAGCAGGTATTGCAGCAGGACCCAGAGCGCACGGAGCACAGAGCGGACAGCAGATAACGGAATTGCAGTTTTATTGCTTATAGATTATCAGAACATTTCAAAGGGGACACAGCCCCATTGGATATTAACCTATGGATTAACTACATCATCGTTTTTATCGTTTTAATGCCATTGAAGACCAGTTTAGACCAGACAACGAGGAAGGTAAGTCATTGTTAGCCTAGCGCATTAGCGCTAGCGCCATTTGTTTTGATGTACGTTTTTGTTGATAACGTCGCGAGTTTGTATCTTTCAGTGTTGGGCTGTTCAGGTGGGCACCGTTAGATTCTGTGTCTCCTTGCGATCATAAACAATGTGTTGGATGTGCAGCTAGGATAAGTAATAAGGGAGCGAGGAGTGATTTTCGGTGCTGTAATAGGTTAGCATGTTTCGCTCAGGGCTAATTCAGAGGCTCACTGCCTATGTTTTATTTTATTTTATTATTTTTTTCACAACAGTTGTATTTGGATGGTATGAATACCTATAGTGATAATTCAAAGTAATAAAATGATTTTTACAGTGAAAAAGTTCAAATGGAACCGATGGTTCCCAAATTACCCAGAGGTGAGTCCGCTTAGACTTTATTTTTCTAAATCTCTCTAAAAAGGTCAAATTTCACTTGTTTTGCATCAATCTTGATACAGGGTACTTATTATATGTTATAGTTTGGATTCCTAAAGCTTTTAGTCTACTAACCCATCATGCAAGGGTGGTTTTCACTATAAGTAAAGTTTTTTTTTTAGGTGGACATTAGAATGTACATGTTTTTACTATGTTCCATCTGAATTTACTTTAAAATAAAAACATCTATATTGATTCTGACACTTCTACATCCAACTCACAGATGTAACCTTGCTTTGAGAAAAATAATTATTAATTTACCCCTTTTAGAAGTGAAGATATATCATTTGTTGTGTTAGTGGCATTTTCGAGCCTGAAACCTGAAAAATAGGCTCAGGGCTTAACTTGACAAATAACCATAATAACCGACATGAAAAAATATCGTGATAAATATCGTCCAAACGTGATACTGCTTGAAAAATATCGTGATATTATATTTTTCAATATCGCCCACCCCTAATCTCGACCCCCTCCAATGTAAGCGTGACGTATTTGGTTCTTGGATCTTGCCGACACCGGCAAAGGTCAATTGTGTCTAGACAGGGTATCTGCAGGAATCCTGAAGTCACATTTAATACCTTTTAAGACCTTTTTTAAGACCCTTTCCATACATTTTAAGACCTCATCGCAACTTGGAGTTCTAACCGGTTACCTTGGCGACACTTTACCTCACATCTCTATATTGATTAGCTAAACAGAGTGCAGACAGACTACTGAAGCCTCCTCTCCATGAACTTCAACCTCTCTGTGAAGGTCAGGGTTAATGCAGGATGCTGCTTTGTTGCTTCTGTACTCTGTGCTCTTTCATTCCAGTCAAACTCCTCAGAAACCAGTAGAAACCAGTATTTGACCAATAAACAAAACAATTGACAAAACTTTGAACTATGAAATATATGAAACGTTGGTGAGCTTCAGCGGGGTAGTGCCATATAGGAGCTCCCTCACAAATACCCAGGGGCTGTCCGGGGCTAAGCCCGGCACATAGGACGATGCTCTGACGTCATCACCCTCACACATTTGTCTACAAAAAACGATACATATGTTAAGACTTTTCTCGTTCTTAATATAGACTATATTTAGGGTCGATATGTGTTGACCTCACTCTAATATAGCAGATCTCTGTGACCGGATATCGTTTGGCTTAGACCCCGGCCCCACGAGGACGCATACAGTAAAACGCAAACGCAAAAAAGCCTTCCCTTCACACGCATTCGATTCATTAACGCGTCCGTTCACACTAGACCGCTGGAAATGCTGGAAACGCTGTAGTACATATGCCAGGCCTGTAAGTGGTGCTGCTGCCGCCACAAAATACACCAAAAGCAGCGAAGAAGACCCGGAGCATGGTTGCCCTTCTGTTTATTCTCCGCGGTGGACGGCGTGTTCTCCTGCTGTATATCTCTCAGGTATACCCCCCCCCCCACCGAGCGGAGCAAGGCAACGAAACTTAAAATAAGAAGCAGCATTTTATGGCACGCTATGCATGGGGCCACCTTGAGGGGGTTTCCCGACATGTTGTTTCAGTAAATTAAAGGGTGTTTCTTGTTGTCGTTGCTGTGGACCTTCTTAATACCTTGGAAAATGCCGTTTAATACTTTTTAATAGCCTTAATTTTCGCTAAATTGATTTATCAACTTTTAATACTTTTTAAGACCCCGCGGACACCCTGCTAGAGTGCGCCTTAGTTTGACCATGCTTGATCTAGCATCAGATAGCATCAGACAGCATCTATAGCATCAGACAGCATCTATAGCATCAGACAGCATCTATAGCATCAGATAGCATCTATATCAGTTATAGCATCAGATAGCATCTATAGCATCAGATAGCATCTATATCAGTTATAGCATCAGATAGCATCTATAGCATCAGATAGCATCTATATCAGTTATAGCATCAGATAGCATCTATAGCATCAGATAGCATCAGACAGCATCTATAGCATCAGATATCATCTATATCAGTTATAGCATCAGATAGCATCTATAGCATCAGATAGCATCTATAGCATCAGACAGCATCTATAGCATCAGACAGCATCTATATCAGCTATAGCATCAGATAGCATCTATAGCATCAGATAGCATCTATATCAGCTATAGCATCAGATAGCATCTATAGCATCAGACAGCATCTATAGCATCAGACAGCATCTATAGCATCAGACAGCATCTATAGCATCAGATAGCATCTATATCAGTTATAGCATCAGATAGCATCAGATAGCATCTATAGCATCAGACAGCATCTATAGCATCAGATAGCATCTATATCATCAGACAGCATCTATAGCATCAGACAGCATCTATAGCATCAGATAGCATCTATATCAGTTATAGCATCAGATAGCATCTATAGCATCTATAGCATCTATAGCATCAGACAGCATCTATAGCATCAGACAGCATCTATAGCATCAGACAGCATCTATAGCATCAGATAGCATCTATATCAGTTATAGCATCAGATAGCATCTATAGCATCAGATAGCATCTATAGCATCAGACAGCATCTATAGCATCAGACAGCATCTATAGCATCAGACAGCATCTATAGCATCAGATAGCATCTATATCAGTTATAGCATCAGATAGCATCAGATAGCATCTATAGCATTCAGACACATCTATAGCATCAGACAGCATCTATAGCATCAGACAGCATCTATAGCATCAGGATAGCATCTATATCAGTTATAGCATCAGATAGCATCTATAGCAATCTATAGCATCAGCACAGCATCTATAGCATCAGACAGCATCTATAGCATCAGGATTAGCATCTAGATCAGTTATAGCATCAGAGAAGGCATTATATGCATCAGATAGCATCTATATCTCAGTTATAGCATCAGGATAGCATCTATAGCATCAGACAGCACTATAGCAATCAGACAGCATCTATAGCATCAGACAGCATCTATAGCATCAGATAGCATCTATATCAGTTATAGCATCAGAGTAGCATCAGATAGCATCTATAGCATCAGACAGCATCTATAGCATCAGAATAGCATCTTATATCAGTTATAGCATCAGATAGTAAGGATAGCATCTATAGCATCAGACAGCATCTATAGCATCAGACAGCATCTATAGCATCAGATAGCATCTATATCAGTTATAGCATCAGATAGCATCTATAGCATCTATAGCATCAGACAGCATCTATAGCATCAGACAGCATCTATAGCATCAGATAGCATCTATATCAGTTATAGCATCAGATAGCATCTATAGCATCAGATAGCATCTATATCAGTTATAGCATCAGATAGCATCTATAGCATCAGATAGCATCTATAGCATCAGACAGCATCTATATCAGTTATAGCATCAGACAGCATCTATAGCATCAGATAGCATCTATATCAGTTATAGCATCAGACAGCATCTATAGCATCAGACAGCATCTATAGCATCAGACAGCATCTATAGCATCAGACAGCATCTATAGCATCAGATAGCATCTATATCAGTTATAGCATCAGATAGCATCAGATAGCATCTATAGCATCAGACAGCATCTATAGCATCAGACAGCATCTATAGCATCAGATAGCATCTATAGCATCAGACAGCATCTATAGCATCAGACAGCATCTATAGCATCAGACAGCATCTATAGCATCAGACAGCATATATAGCATCAGATAGCATCTATAGCATCAGACAGCATCTATAGCATCTATAGCATCAGATAGCATCTATATCAGTTATAACTAATTCTAACTGATGCTAATTTCAAACATATGCAGGTTAGCATCCAGCGGTGTCTATGAGCTGCAGATTCACTAAGCTGGTATTTAGACTATAAATCCCTTTAAAGACGCATTGATAATATATATAAATATTAGACTCATTAGCATTACACTGTTTATTAAATTAATTAACAGGAATACAACAATTCAAGTTCATTTAAAGTTATAACATTAAAAAGTAATCACCATTGATGTCTGTCCCTCTGATCCCAGCAGGAAGACACGGGTCCACTTTCTTTAGGAAGTCCAACTGAAAAACACAACGATCATTAAGACGAGGCTGAAGTTGGCTTCCGATTCAGAGCATCCGATGCGGCAGTTAAGGGGAAAGTTAAGGGACATTTCATTTACAGCGCTGAGCGAACGATCCTCCGTGTTTGAACCTCTTAAATCGCTGCATAGCAGATTTATTTGGACTGGATTATCCCAGAGAGGCTAAAGATTCTTTATAACAGATTGAGATTTGTGAAACCTTTATTGTATTTGTGAAAATACAAACACAGGTGGAAGGCTGAGGTTGCAGGACCAGGACGGCTGAGGTTGCAGGACCAGGACGGCTGAGGTTGCAGGACCAGGACGGCTGAGGTTGCAGGACCAGGACGGCTGAGGTTGCAGGACCAGGACGGCTGAGGTTGCAGGACCAGGACGGCTGAGGTTGCAGGACCAGGACGGCTGAGGTTGCAGGACCAGGACGGCTGAGGTTGCAGGACCAGGACGGCTGAGGTTGCAGGACCAGGACGGCTGAGGTTGCAGGACCAGGACGGCTGAGGTTGCAGGACCAGGACGGCTGAGGTTGCAGGACCAGGACCAGGACCAGGACCAGGACCAGGACCAGGACCAGGACCAGGACCAGGACCAGGACCAGGACCAGGACCAGGACCAGGACCAGGACCAGGACCAGGACCAGGACCAGGACCAGGACCAGGACCAGGACCAGGACCAGGACCAGGACCAGGGTGAACCTCCCAGCTGGGCAAGCCTTTATGCCTTCTTGTATTTTCACAAATAGAATAAAGGTTTCACAAATCAAATCCAGTCCAGATAAATCGGCTATGCAGCGATTTAAGAGGTTCAAACACGGAGGATTGTTCGCTCAGCGCTGTAAATTAAATGTCCCTTAACTTTCCCCTTAACTGCCGAATCGGATGTTCTGAATCGGAAGCCAACTTCAGCGTCGTCTCATTAATTACATTGTAATGAAAGTGTGCTAAGCTAACGGCGTGCTAAGCTAACAGCGTGCTAGGCTAACAGCATGCTAGCTCTTCAATGGTGTTGTATTGTCAGAGTTCGTGGTGGTTTTATCTTCAGTCTTCTGTTTATTTCCTACTTTTTAATGCGGTTTTAATTCTATTTTGAGATGTTTAAATTCTAGCATCGTTCATTTCTAGTTGTTTTTATGCTGCTGCAAAGCAAACATTCCCCCAATTTGGAATCAATAAAGTACCTCTTATCTTACCTTCTTATCTTATATACTACATCCTAACATCGCTTTTGTTGTTAAAGTTGGATTCAGAACTTTGAACTGAATACTCATGTTTATTTGTGAGGGTTTATCTTTATCCAACAGCGTGCTAGGCTAACAGCGTGCTAAGCTAACGGCATGTGTGTGATGGAGTTTTAATTGATAATACACCTGTACACTCACCTGTGAGCAGGCAGTTGAAGTCTCCTGCACGTCCACAGACACAGCCCAGGAGTCTCCGGACATGTTTCAGATTCACCTGAGTTTTTACTTAAAGATAAAAACTCACTTTTTAAAGGTGTTATATGAAAACGGTGTTTCTAGCTGAAGAGGCGTCGACCGTTACTCCGAGGCTGCGTTCAGGAGAGTCGGACATCTCGGTACTTTTAAAACCTCCGGTAAGCAGAGGTAAAGCATTAAAGTCATTCAAATCGAAAGATATTCAGCTGATAGTTACTTCAATATGAATAATGTTGATTCATAATTCATGGTATATTTGTAGAGGGAAAATGTATTAAAACGGTTATAGGAAAACATATTTTCCTTTTTTTTAGATGAATATATATATAAATCTAAATGAACTGGTTTTACAGGGGGAAAGTGATTTAATTGTAATACACGTTTCAAAATGATGCCGAAGTAAAAACATACTGATACCGGTTAGTAAAAACCATGAATTAATGCTTTGACAAGTCTGCAGACAGACGGCAGAGAAACACCTTTTAAAATGCGTGTTTTCTAAATGGAGCTTGGCTAAGCTAACGTTATATATGCTCCGACCGTCCACACTCACAACAACGGCCTATACAGACATAAATAAAGCAGCGACTGTATTCGCCATGACACAGGCAGTCTGTGGTTTGTACTTGTTTAACTTCTGTCTAGTTTCTGAACAGATATGAGGAGCTGTGAGCTCTGAGTGCTAACAGCTAACGGCTGTGTTGTTTTTCTGGGGCTCTCATTGAAGATGACGTCACGGCTCCGCCTACACTGCGTTACTATAGTAACTGCCCCAGTTCCTAAACTGTAATGGAAATGCGCCATAAAGTGAGCCGGGCCTAATAAGGCCTAACCAGGCCTAACCAGGCCGAGCGAGGCCTGCAGTGGAAACGCGCCATAACACACACACACACACACACACACACACACACACACACACATACACACGTCATACACATACACACACACACACACACACACACACACACACACCACACACACACACACACACACACACACACCACACACACACACACACATACACACGTCATACACACACACACACCACACACACCACACACACACACACACACCACACACACACACCACTTCATACACACACAAACACACACACCACACCACACACAGATTTGCACATTTTAGATAGAAAATAAATACAGTAAAACAAGTTTGTAATACTGTAAATAATAATAATGAAACATAAATATCTAAACTAAATAATACAAGTAAAAATATTGTGTTGTTTAGTTATTGTTTTAGTAATATATTCTAGAGCTTCCTCTCCAGTGTAAACAACAAAAACAACAATAACAACAACAGGTGTTCACAGAAGCTTTCTCCTCGACTCCTCGACTCCTCGACTCCTCGGTCCTCCGGTAGTGACCCGGAAATGGATTTCAGCGCGCCATGTTGAAAGACATCTCTTTTCTCGAACCGCCTGCTGCTCGAGGCGACTCCTCGACTCCTCTCTCCTCGGTTCCCCTCCTCGACTCCTCTCTCCTCGGTTCCCC